TTATATTAAGGTTTATATGTTGATGAATATCTTGTGTTAGACTTTTAAGGAATAAATCTTTTTTTATTAATCATTATTTAAAGTTTAATTTATTGATAAAATAATCATATGTGTTGAACTTTTTCAAGAAATTTTTTTTACTGGCTTGTTTCTTAAATGCATTACAAATTGTTATTATGGAGGGATAATAATCATGTGTTTTGGGACTTTTTAAGGAATTTATATGTGTTGGATTTCAAAGAATTTTTTTTATGCTTGTTCTTAATGCATTAAAGTGTTATTATGAGGGTAAGACTTGGGGATTGGGAGAAGTTATAAATTTTTAGGTTTTTTTTTTTTTAAATCAAATATCTTCCTTTTTTTTTTTAAATGTCTTCTTTTTTTCTTTTTTTATATAAAAGATTGGGCAAATTACATATACCCCTCGAGATTTAGTAAAATTACGGATTCCTCCCTGAGGTTTGAGAAATTACAGATACCCCCTGAAGGTACTATTTACATAACAAATTAGGAAGCAAATTGTTATGAAAATATAAATCTCATGGGGCAATTTGTTATGAAAATATAAATCTCAGGAGTATCTGTAATTTCCGAAACCTCAGGGGATATCTGTAATTTAGTTAAATCTCGAGGGAGGTATATGTAATTTGCCCTATATTAAAGTTTAATATTTTAATAATCATATGTGTTAGACTTTTCAAGGAATTAAATGTCTTTTTTTTTATTATATTATATTAAAGTTTAATATTTTGATAATAATCATATGTGTTGGACTTTTCAAAATTTTTTTTTTTATGTTTGTTCTTAATGCATTAAAATGTTATTATGAGGGATACTAATCATATGTGTTGAGACTTTTTAAGGAATTCATGTGTTGAATTTCAAAGAATTTTTTTTATGCTTGTTCTTAATGCATTAAAGTGTTATTATGAGGGTAAGACTTGAGAATTGGGAGAAGTTAATAAATGCTAAGGTTTTTTTTTTTTTTTTAAATCAAAAAATCAAGAAATTTAGATTGAGAGATTGGAACTCCCACAAGGCTTAGGATTAAAAACTCCATTTTACTTAATATATAGCGTAGATTACACTTATGACTCTTAGATTACACTTAAAATAAAACACCACACACTAATCAAGGTAATCTAAAAGTCATAAATTTTTCATGATCAGTTTCATGAAAGTTTTTTCATGATCCCTATCTTTTCTCAATGTAAATTAATGCACAACTTGGAGTCCTTGGTCTCCCCTGATTAATGCACCCTTTCAATTCCATCCATGATATACTCACTTACCTGTATATGTGATCTCTATATAATCACTGAAGCTCAGGATTGAGGTACACATCCTCAGAGAAACAGAGATGGCAAACAAATACATGGTCCATTTCTCTGGCAAAACCATCGAAGCAACCGTCACTGACAAAGCCTCTGTGGTCGAAGAGTGGGTTCGTGAGGCTCGCTCTCTGCACGTTGGACAACATGACATGATTGTGGGATTGGACTGTGAGTGGAAACCAAATACCATAAGCTCAATGAACAACAGGACAGCCACATTGCGGCTATGCATCGGCACAAGGCGTCGTATAATCCAACTCTGTTACATTGACTACATTCCTCAATCCATCAAGTTCAAGAGTTTCCTCAGTGACTCAAACTTTACTTTTGTTGGTGTCGAGGTTGGGGACGATGTGTCGAAGCTTAGGAATGAGTATGGGCTAATTTGCACTAGCACTGCTGACATTCAAGCTCTGGCTATGTCTCGCCGGCCGTTGCAGTTTTATCGCATGCCTGGTTTGAAATCCCTTGCTTATCTATTGGTCGGGCTTTCGATGGAAAATCCTATGCATGTCTGTAGGAGCAATTGGGAGGCTAGAGTGCTTGATGAGAAGCAGATTGAGTATGCTTGCATTGATACTTGTGCTTGTTATAAGATTGGTCACAGGCTACTTAAATAACCAATGTGACTGTTTCTCTGCTCTTTGAATTTTGTTTTCAGTATGTCACAAATGTTCTGGGTTGTTGAGGAGTTTTACTGATACTGATTGGCTCGTCTACCATCATATTATTGTGGTTGGTACTGAAGTGCATGATCTTTGAAACATGGAACAAACTTAGAACAGAACAGCTAAGTCATTAAATAGTTTGTCACTGCATCCTGTTCTATTGCCTATCAAAGTAGAGGAAATATCATTTTTCTCCCCAAATTTTCACTCATTTTTCAATTTGACCCTTAGACTTTGATTAATATCAATTTTACACAATTTTTAAAATTTTGATCAATTTGATCCCTGCAATCACATTCCGTCTACAATTGGATGGAGTGTACTAATGTGACACCAAAGTTCATTTAAAATTTCATTTTATCCCCCAAATTATACCTTAAAAATTAATTTGCCCCCCCAAACTATACCTTAAAAATTAATTTGCTCCTCACGTCAGCACATTCCGTCCAATTGTAGAAGGAATGTGACGGTAGAGGCCAAATTGATCAAAATGTTTAGTCGTAAAATTGATATGAATCGAAATCTAGAGGTCAAATTAAAAAATGCATGAAAAGTTTAGGAGGTAAAATGATGGTTTCTATGCATTTTTTTTATTCTTTCTATGCATTTTTTTATTCTTTTAGATTCAATGATGTGTAAATGAGATTATTGACTAATGTTTAGAAAAAAATATAAGACATAATGTTATCTTAGATATTTTAATTAATTGTTTATTGTCTTTGGGCTAGAATAGTAATGGGTATGCAAATTTGCATAAGTTTTTACAAAAATACATAAGTTATCTTATAAATTCACATAAATTGAATGCAAATTCGCATAAGTTAATTCATACATATTTGAGAAATCGCAACTTGACGTAAGTTCTCACATATATACGTAAGTTACCTTATAAAATTCCGTAACTTAAACACAAATTTATGTAAATTAACCTATAAAAACTTGAAAAATCACTATTTAACGTAAGTTCTCACAAATATACGTAAATTACCTAATAAAATCGCATAAGTTAACCTATAAAAATGTATCCTCCTAAAAGAAAGAAAAAAAAAAAAAAAAAAAACTAAAGCTTTCTATCCATAATTTCATGGCGAGTATATTAAAACCATTCTCTTTATAATGCATTTAAATTAAGAGTGTTACGGGCAAATTGCACACATGTATCACTTTGTCCATACATACAGCATATATTTGGAAGGACTTGAGTAAGATTTTGTTAATGTTGTATCTGGATGTTGTTGGATTATAGTAGGAATTTGTGGAATCAAATGAAATTAATGTTGATTTACCATAAATTTACAATAAGTGGTGAAATGAAACAAAATTTGATTTTCTCTTTTCTATTTTTCTATGGTGAATCTAGTCAGTCAAAGGTTACACTCCGTTTGAATGAAAGGGTTTGGTAAGAAAAAAAAAAGAAGAAGAAATTATGAGAATATAAGCCTGCGTTTGGTTGTGTTTTGTAAATGTGATTTGAAAATATGAGTTATATTTTGAGTTTGTGTGTTGTAGAATTATGATTTAAGTGTAAAAAATTTGTTTGGGAAAGATTTAGAATTATGATTTGAGTGTGGAAAATTTGTTTGGTGAAGAGTTTTGAATTGAGTGAGAAATTTTTGATGTGACATATGATATTTGATACAAAAACTTACAACTCATAACCAAACATACAACTTAAAATTATTTTAAAACACATAAAAAATTTTAAAAATTTCAGAAAATATTTTTCCCGATTATATAAATCAATTGCAAAAAAAAAAAAAAAAAATCTGAAATTCAGAGGACATTTGAGTGGACATCCGGGTGGACTTCCACAAGAAAAATTTTCAAAAAAAATGCGGTTGATGCACAAAGTTCTCTGCAGAGCTCGTGAAAATTGATTTCAAAACCATAACCAAACATCATACTCAAACACACGTGTAGAAACACGTTTACAAATCACAACCAAGCAGAGCCTAAAACTCTTTCATTTGTTTAAATAACTAAGTAGGTGAGAAATGGTGAAAGAGAGTAAAAAACTTTCACCAAAGTTGTGTTTTATTTTTCACCAAAAGTGATGAGATTTGGTGAGAAAAGAAAAGGGTTTAATGAAACTTTTGCAAAACACCAAAATTACCCTATGGTGGGAGAAATTGAAAAAATAGCTTATTAATGTGGAATGTTATTTTGGTAAAATGAAATAAAATACTTCTCTCTCTCTCTCTCTCCCTTTCTTATTTACTCTATTGAACAAGATAGGTGATAAATTAATTTTTTTTCTCTTTTATTCATGTAAACACAATGGTGTAAAACTGTCTCGACCCCAACTCGCCCCTAGAGATTAGAGTAGTGACCGACAAGTAATCATAGATTACCTTCAGCCTCAAAAACAAATTCAATCATAATATAATATCGGGGTTTAGCGAAAGTAATAATGAAATATAACTAAGTCCACTGAGCTGTGCATATATGATAAATTGAGATATTTAAAACATTTCATAATACACTTTAATAATTATACATATACATAGGCATATCTTATACAACCCAAGATCATACAATTAAGACTTGACAAAATATAAAGCTCAAGCCTCATCACGAAAGCACATCTTAGGTGGTTTGACCAAAAGGGCGGACTCCGAGACAATCTCTAATGCTGATCTTCTAGTTGCTCACCTACATACATACATACATATATATATATATATATATATATATATATAAATTGTGAGTAGGAGCCTAGTGAATAACAACACGAAGGGGCCTCATCAATTGTCCAGTAATGTATATAAATCACAGTATAAATTCCTGATTAAGAGTTTCTTAACATATTAGAATCATCCTCATCTTTGTAAACAATCATACGTGGTACATCCAATAGCAAAACATAACAAATGGTTATATAAGACCAGAACAAATAAAACAGATGGCCAAATCAGAACAGATAACCATGAAGGTTAGACAGATAGTGCCCAAGGATTGGAACTAACAGAGATCTCTGACAACAGATACAGATGCTTAAGGATGTCACGAATACGAGTCAGAAAAGATCAATCATTCATTCATTTACATAGACTATCAGTTCAGAAACATAACATAACTTGTAATTCAGAAAATACTTTTAAACAAACATAGTTTTACAAAATTATTACTCACAAATGGCTCCTTAGACAGATTAAACTGCATGTGTGGGGTTTCAAGCTGCACGTGAGGTTCTGGGTTCAAAATTGTCCGAAAATTGGCTTTAAGTTTGGAACTCAAATTATTCAAATCCAAACTTCAAATTTATGCATTTTAACCCAAAAGCTCGTTAAAACAATCTTGAACTTGAATTTCCAACATCATATACAAATTATAACTTAAAACAAAACCCAAAATTTCAATTGTAAAGCAAAATCTTGAGTTTAGAGTTAATACCATAAACCTTGCATTTGGAAGCTCCAACCTCAACTTCCATCGGAGTGTTCTTTGAAAACTTATGAGCTATGCAAGGAACATAAGGTTTTGAACATGAATTTCATGAATATAATCCTAAACCCTTCTCAATCTCCTAAGAAGATTCTACATAACTCAAACTTAAATTTCATACCTTAAACTTCAATTTCAGAAATTAGAAATGATTCCCTTAAGCTTCTTCAATTCTACTTTAATTTACACTAGTCTTGAGCTCCAACTCTCAAGAATGGAGCTTTCTCTTTCTATACAATCTCTCTCTCTCTCTCGCTAGTAGCAAGATGGACCCTTCTTCTTGACTTTGAAAAGTCCTTACCCAAGTGATATACACTCAACACGATGTACAAATACACACAGATTTCTTAGCTCACAGACTGATTTCTCAGCGCACCCATACCCACACCCATTCTCAAATTTTAGACTCGTCCATAATTCAATTTATGATGAAGATTGGCTTAGTTTAGCAACATTTAGAGTTGGTTTGGGATGTCTTAAAAAAGTGTATTTTTTATCTTTTTACGAAAAAATGTGCAGAAAAATAGAGAGATGATGTGATGAAAACAAGATAAAAAGATAAAAAGATGGATTACATAGGTTATGCCAAACCTAGCCTTAGTCTTAATTAATCTTGATTAGTACATAATTAATCATAACTAATCACAAATCACACATAATTTAATATTAGTTGAATTGACTTCGATTAAGGCCCAATTAATTATAATTAAATTTATCAATTTGAAACTCCTTTTGGCAAGAACTAAACGGAGCTTTTTTGGCTATTTTAGCCACAAAAGACAAAATAGGCTATTTTAGCCACAAAAAATAAAATATCACATCCAACCCATAATCATTACATTATTCTCTCACAAAAAAAGCCAAAAAAGCCAAAAAGCCCTTCCCAAACCAAACTTTTTAGCCCAGGCTAAAATAGCCAAAAAAGCCCAAAAAAGCCAACCCACTTCCCAAACGGAGGCTGAATCATATTTTTAATCAAACTCCCAAAAAATTTCAAATATCAAATTAAACTTATTGCCACTATCAATTTTGGTTTCTCAAATCACTAAAGTTTTTAATTTCATATCAAACCCAAAATTCTTGTCAACAAATTACATATACCAATTAGACACCTATTTAATTCATAATAATTATAATTTCCCCAAATTGAATTAACTTAATTAACTCCAAATCAGATCCAATTAATCAAATTTTAATTTCACTAAACTGAATTGGATATTTAATTAAATTCCCAAATAGGTCAATACTTGTAATTAAACTGATTCAACTCGTCAATTTCACATTCTTGGGCCATTTAGGCTTCTAATTTCTAATTTCAAATTAAATCCTTAATAGAATCATATACGAATCAAACTCCATAATTCTCATAAATCTCAAATTAAATCAGAATAATGGCTAATTAAAATCTGAATCTTTTTAATTAATTAAATATAAAATATTATACGTTGCCGGGTCATTACAACAAATATTTTTTTTTTTTTTTTTTTCTTCATCTCACCATCCAAACGGAAGGTTAGCATAATGTATTAAAATTCATTAAACTATTACAATTATTAAGCATGAAAAGATATAAATCAAATGTAATAGAAAAGGAAAATGTTATGGTGTACACCTTTTAGGGATGTATACTATACGTACACTATCACAAAATGTATAAATTTATCACAAAATTTTGTAACAGCAATCACAAAATGTATAAGCTTACCACAAATTGGCATGATAAAACGTCCACAAATTTATGATTGATGTTGCAAAAATTTGTGATTTGGTTACGATATTTTTTGTTACGTTAATTTGTGGTTGATAATGCAATAACTTCAATGAATGATGGGTCGGACTGATCCATGCTTCAAATGAGTCTGTTGGCCGGTGTCCTCAAAACATGCTTGCAAAAAGGTCGAAATGGGGAGATCAACCCCCAACGGACACTCCGACGATCACGTTAGGTTAGGGTAGATTGATTTTAGAGAGAGAGAGAGAGAGAGAGAGAGAGAGAGAGAGAAGCAAGGAGGTGAAGACTTAACCTCTAACGTATCTCGAAAACTTCCTTATATCCTTTGATCGTCATTTCCTTGTCCATTCCAAGCTGTCTTGTTGGCATAAAGTCTATGGCCTAGTTAACATCGTTCATGGTGATTCTGCATACTCCGACGTGAGGGGTCTTGCTGTATTTAATGCTATAGTGGCCTCATTAAATGGTTTATGTGTGGGTGTAATAACTTTACAAGATCTTTGTCTGCTCACGTGGTTGATTCCTTACCTGACAATTGTTTGAATGCTATTGGTCCTGGGCCAGCATTGGTTTCTCAAAGTTATTGGGCTGACTGGGCATTAACACCTAGGTCGTGAGCTGGGCCCCATTGGGTGCCAATTAGTATCAATAGTTCCCTATTTCCAAGTGCAGCTTTAGTCCAACGAAGGGAATTCGAAAGAAGATAGTAGTCCCCCAAAACGCCAAAGAGAGGACCAAAGGAGGAGGAGGGGAAGGATGACAGGCATAACAAAGGACGATTGGGAGTGAATGCGGTTGGTGTGCGATCGAGGAGGGAGGTGACTGACCGACGTGGTGGTCGACCGACGAAAGGATCGACCAACGTGGTGGTCGTCCGTAGAGGGAGGTGACCGTCTGACGTGGTAGCCGATCGGGGAAAGGATCGACTGACATGGTGGTCGACTGCGGAGGGAGGTGATCGACCGTCATGACGGCCAACCGATGCTGGGCTGACCGCTATGGTGACTGACCGTTGAGGAAAAGATTGACCGACGTGGTGGCCGACTGACGTGGTGGTCGATTGTTGAGGGAGGTGATCGATCAACGTGGTGGTCGAATGATGAAAAGATTGACCTACGCGGTGGCCAATCGTTGGAAAGATCGACCGACGTAGTGGCCGACTAATGTGGTGGTCGACCATTGAGAGAGGTGACCGACCGACGTGGTGGCAGACCGATGAAAAGATTGATCGACGTGATGGCTGACAGACGTAGTGGTCAATTGTGGAAGGCATTTATGGTGCACAGGGCTTGAGGTACAGGAAAACACGTGATGATATGAAGTGGAATAGACAGAGAGAAAGAACGAGAATGAGTGCGATGAATGAGGGATCGAGGTTGTACACGTGGGGCAATCTGGGCCATTAGTGAGGGATGTGAAGCGGTAGTGGGAAATGAATGGGTTGTATAAGGGGTGACGTAGGCAAGACGGGGGTTTTATCTTGGTGGAATTTTCAAACTGGTGAATTTTAACTGTGATCCTTGGAACACAGGCAAACCCTAGGCATTCGGACTGGTGCGATTTACTTATCTTATTGTGAAAAATTAGCACATTCCAGACTTTAGCTCCTACATCTCGATGGACTCTCCTATTTTTCACATCGCAAATTTCCTTGCCCCCACAACCAAAGCAATATATAGAAATGTGAAGGAGATAGCACAAGACAAAGCACTGGTCATGACATTAGATGCGTTGGGAGAGGATGATGGAGTGGCACTAGCTGAAAAATATAGAGTAGAGAGGCTCGGGGAAAGGAGTGTGGAGCAGCCAGTGTCACCTCTTCTGGCGACAATGATCTTGGCGGCCCAGCCGATTAGCCAAGTGGCGCCGAACCACTAGCATACCAAGGCTGACAAATCCACGTTAATGGCAGAGGATTTGGAGGAGTTGCGTAGCAGATACCAGATTTCAACAGAGGTAGAGTTGAGATTGCCAATGGCAAAAGAGATGCCGTTTGATGTATGGCCGATGGAGTTTGCACTGTATGATGAGGCGTTATGAGGGGGGGGGGCTGAGGCTACCCCTCTCATAGCTAGTGGTCGACGTGTTAAATCGTTTGGAGGTGGCTCCAGGACAACTAATGCCGAATGCGTAGAAGATTCTATGTGCCTGTGTGATCGCATGGCCACGGGCGACTGGAGGAGAGATGATGACGGTGGATGGATTTTTTTCGTGCTACATGGCTTCAGGGCAACAAGAAACATGGGTGACCCTGCAAGCAATAGCTGGGAGGGGATTGGTGGCAGGACTACCTTGCCAGTAAGGGGTCGGCGGCCAAAGTGGTTTTTTGTGTCGGCAAGTGGCGGAAGAGGAGTGCACACGATTTGGAAAGTCCCCACGAAGTCGCTGGAGCCAAAGTTAGACGCTGCGACGGAGAGAAGGGTCAAACAGGTGAAGGAGTGGAGGGAGAATAAGGAGCTAAAATGGGACGACCTCGTCTAGCCTTTAGCCTTGTTTGTATTGAATCTAGGACCTCAGTCGACCTAGGGAGACCCTGAGCCGGAGGAGGTGGAGGCAAGGAGGAAGGCGCAAGAAGCAGAGGACACGCGAGCTTTTGCCATGATGAACAAATACAAAGAGAAATAGTTGGGCCAACGCCAAAGCTGGTCGCAAAGAGATTGGTCCGATCACAACCCAAACCTTTAGGAGAGAAAGATTTAGCAACATTTGTGCCTCTGTGAGCACCAATGGATCCACTGATGGAGAGAAGTAGGAGGGAGATGGAGTTGGTTTTGAAGAAGAAGAAGAATAGGAAGGTGGCTTCGGAGGGAAGTAAAGAAGGATTGTTACTAAAGAAGACAAAAGAGGGAGTAGTCGAGTTGCCTCCAGAAGTAGAGAAAGAGAAGACCAGGGTTGGTGTGGAGGTGGAGAAAGGTTTGGCCGAGCTCCCGATCGTCTAAGTGACGAGCGGAGTAGACGAGCAAAAAGGGTTGCCAAAGGCCGACCGATCGACAGACCTGCCCTCCAAAGACGTGCCTTTAAGAGAAGTGCCCCCAAGTAAGGAGTTAGGGAGAGAGCGGGCGAGTGGAGCAGAGACGAGTGTCGCGCTGGGGACCGCCACTCATCATGTTCGCGCGGTAGTTGGTTGCTTGGTAGGTGATGGGAGCGAAGCCAGGGCAGCTGTAAACCGTTTGTTGGGGATTGTTGAGGACGCGACCATGCAGAGTGTTGCACAATTTACAGAGGTTGACCTTATACGAGGATTTTGCTCCGTGCAAATGGAAGCAGCGACCATGGCAGCTGCTCTATTGGGCAAGGTAGTGGGGGCCGAAGGTGGAAGCGGAGCCGCTTAAGGCCCAGTTGGAAGGGGTTCGGGCACAATTATAGCACGTGGGTAGAGATGACTGGCTGGAGAAAGAAGTAATTGTGGTTGGCCGTCACGATAGTCGATCACCTCCATCCACGGTCAACCACCAAGTTGATCGATCATTTCCTCGGTCGGCCACCATGTCGGTCTGTCACCTCTCTCTAGGGTCGACCACCACGTCAGTAGGTCACCTCTCTCCTCGGTTGCCCACCAACCATGCCTGCTCCTAATTGTCTCCTGTC